AGAGAGTGCTGCGCGGGCTTCTTCGGGCCCCAGTGCCAGCCCTGCCCAGGGAATACCCAGAACGTCTGCTTCGGAAATGGTGTCTGCTTGGACGGAGTGAATGGCACAGGCATGTGTGAGTGTGGAGAGGGCTTCGGAGGCACGGCCTGCGAGACCTGCATCGAGGGCAAGTACGGCATCCACTGTGACCAAGGTAGGCACGCCCTTCCCCACCCAGGCGTCCATGGCTCCCGACACCACTGGGAATGATGGGGATCTCCCACAGGCAGGCTGGAATCCACCTCTGTTATGAGAATTATAAGAACATCTGTGCTGTAATAAACATCGATAGGGCAGCCTTTCCAAACATTTTCAGTCACTAACCTACCAACTCAGCCCCAGCCTGTTCGTTGACAACCCTCAACCCAATCACACATTTCTGTCGGCCTGTGCACGCTGGTGCTCGTATTACACTCTCAGCTTTGAACATTGTTTGATAGTTTGAAATGCACATTTCTGTATATTATCTCCTTTGATCAACACAGGAACCTTATAGACTTGGGTATTATTATACCCATTTTACAGATGACGATATTAAGGCACAGAAGTTGAATGATTTCCCCCAAGGTCATGACTAATGAGAGGCAGAACTGCAGTTTGAGTGGGTGCCTTGCTTGACCCCAAAGCCTTGCTCTTCAGTCATGCTCTCCTTTACATGAAAATCACCCTATTAATTCGCCCTCACCAAGCCAACTCCTTTAAGCTGTTTTCACAAAAATCATGATCTGTTTGAGCCAAGTCATCTGCATTCTCTCACCGTGACTACCTTTTGCCCAGGGACACATATATATGAGAGGGTTGGCTTGGGAAGAGGGACTTCCTAATCCATGATGAGAAAACACAACATTTCTTTTCTACCCTGTACTAAAAACCATAACTTAACCTATCACTCTTTTCTCAACAGCTAGTCCAAACCAGACAAAATCCATATACAATTGAATATATTACAATAAATAATATACAATTGAATCACTATAATTGAACCATATAACATATCGTTGGAATTGGAGCACCAATTTATTTCTGTTGTTTGGAAGAGTTTTCTCCTTGCATTTGTGCAGAAGTTCCTAACCTGGGATCTGTAGATAACACGCATTGGGTCCAGCAAACCCCCAAAGCTGAATGTTTGTTTCTGGGTAAGGCATCCTTAGCTTTCATCCAGTTCTCAAAGAGGCTCATGACACTGCGGTGTGACAAAGGAATCAGCATTTCTGGGCAGAAGACAACAGGGCCGCACCAGGTTTATACGAGCCTAGTGGACAAACCTTTGGGAGCGAATGTGGTTCCATCCCAAGGACTCCCGCATAACCCTGGATCCTCCGATAACCTTAGCTGAGGACACTCTCAACCTGCCTGGGTCACCGACCTGCAGTGCTACAGGCCCGAAACTGTGGGCTTTGTCAAAGCATGACCAGATTCACCTGTTAGCCCACTCCATTTTATCTCCGTCCCTGCCCTTCCTGGGAACCAGCCGTCCGTTACAGACAGCAATTCTCTGGGACCAGGCTGGAGAATTAAGTGCCCTGAAAAGAAACTGTGTGATCAGTGACAAATGAGTTACTGGATACCGGTCAGAAGTCTGATCATTCGTGGGCATTTTTCCACTTAGCATGTTCCTGTGTCCATGGGAGATGCAGCCAAGGACCTACGGGTGACGGCTCCTGTGACTGTGACGTTGGCTGGCGAGGAGTGAAATGCGACAGTGGTAAGAGCAGGCCCTTCGGTCCTTGAGACCTGGTCTTAACCTCACTTCTTAGCAGCTATATTTGTCTTCCTAAAATAGTAATGACACCTCTGTTCCTTCCTTTCAAAATCAAAAGAAGTACTTGCAGCAAAAAGGGTGTAAAATAAACCAGAAAGGAGAGAATAAAAATTAAGCATATGCCCAAAGCAGGAAGAAACTATCATTAATATTTTACATTAGTCTTCCAGCCTTTATGGGACCATACTCTACTAGTGTTTTGTAACCTGCTTTTCTTTTCTACTTCACAATATACAATAGATATCTTTCTATGTGAATAAATATGCATAAATGTAATTTTTTGACATCCATATATATTCCATTATATAGATGTACCACATTTTGTTAAACCAGTTTTCTATTATGATACATAATGCTGCATGGACATCTCGTGTGTACATCTGACTTGTCTCTTTGCCTCTGGTCCTGTCTTACTGCATTCCACATTTCTGCCAGAGAACTTCCCAAAACACAGATGTCTTAGCTGGTTCAGGCTGCTATAACAAAGTACCATAGACTGGGTAGCGTATAAACAACAGAAGTTTCTTTCTGACACTTCTGGATGCCAGAAGGCTACCTCAGGGTGCCAGCACTGTCCGATTCTGGTTAGAATCCTCTTCTAGGTTGCAGACTGCTGACTTCACATGTCTTCACATGGCAGAAGGGACAAGGATACGCTCTGGGGGGGTTTTTTTATGAGGTCACTAATCCCTTTCATTAGGGCTCCATCCTCATGTCCTAACATCTCCAAAGGTCCCACCTCCTAACACCATCACAGTGGGGATTATGTTTCAACCTATGGATTTTGGGGGGACACAAACATTCAGTCTGTAGCAGTAGATAAGATCATGTTTGCAGCCCCTTCCACCGGGACTTGACAATCTACTATTGTTCTTCGTTGCCTCCAAAAGAAAGTTCGTTGCCTACAAGGGAAACACCTTAGCAGGGTGGACTACCAAGCTATTCACCAATTGGCTCTCATCCAGTTTTCCAGCTTGGTCTCCAGTGTGCACCCTGCACAAGGAATTTCCAGTCTAAAAACGTCAATAAATGTTCAATAGTATTCACAAAATAGTGGTATGTGAGCACAAAGCAAAGAGTCTCTAGACTAGAGCAAGGAAGACACCTCCTTTGTCTCTGTGCAAACCCACCCCACCCCAACTCTTGAGCCCATGACAGACATCACTAATCAATCATTGCTCTCTTACCCTCCAGAGCGAGATAGGGGCACCACATCCTCCCAGGAAGAATATACCATGTAGTTGGTAACAATAAACTGAAGCTGGCTCCAAGGTTTATAGCAGGTTTCAGAAAGAAGGACCTAAAAGATGATTGGGATTTCAATAGATAGAGAAAAGAGAGAAAGGAATTTCCAGGCTCAAGGAACAGCACACATAAAGGCATGATTGGCATTGCATCAGCTCCAGCCTGTTGGAGCCTGTAAATGTTCCCTCTGACACAAAACAGACCACTTTTGCAGCCAGATCTGTTCCAGGACATTCTTTTTGACTTGCCCAGGCCTATTGAGATTTCTATCCCAAAAGGTCTGAGCATGAGCATCCTCTCCAAAGGGCACTCTTTCCTCTTCTCTAATGATTTCTTTGTGGATCCTTCCCTAGCTAGGCATCCAAAAGCAAGAATCAAAGCTGTCCCTTAAAATTTAGGAATTAATGCAGCAAATAGTAGATACCTGCTGTATATCTGGCCCTCGGCTATGCTTCATATGCAAAAAAAAAACCTTTACTATTACTTGTAATTAGATGTTTGTTTATATCACTCTATAATAAAATGATGAAGGACTAGAAAGAATAAGAAATTTAGGAAATACAAATACAAGAAGAAAATCAAGCCCCAGGGAGGAACGTACATCAATATCCAGACCGTATGGGGGATACTGGGTTTTACTCATCCTTTCATCCTCATCACCTAGCACAGGGCTTGGCACACAGGAGACACTCCATCAGTGTATTTGACCTTCAGATTTGGCTGTGAGCTTCCTTGTGGCCAATGTAAAAAAGAATTTACATTGGTCACATGGTTTTACATAGTTCTCAAGATGTATAGCATTACTTCCGAGGAAGTAAATCTTTTCCCAACACCCAGTACTAAATTAAAGCCTTGAGTAAGGCTTCGTAAGAGAAGACTGACCCAGAAATTGGATCTTTTTCAGAAATCACAAAAGACAACTGCAATGGGACATGCCACACCAGCGCCAAGTAGGTACCTCTGAGCTTCCTTTGGGGCCGATGCAAAGGGGATTCTTTCCTGATAGTGTCCACCCTAGTCCCTATCCTCCAGGGAATAGTTTCCTGAAAACATTCCTCAGAATTTAGGACAAATTTAAGTACAAAACTAAAAATACCTCTGAAAAGCCACCATCAACTTGATAGATCCAGCTTTTTGAATAAGCTGCCACCTGGGTTATCTGGCATGTTGGCAAAAATGCCAATTGTTCCCCCAGGATAAGCCACAGGGACTGTCTTCCAGAGGCAGAGGGAGCCCAGTGGGCCTCCCTTTCATTGAAGTTTACTCTTACTCACAGCCAAGCCTGCTTTCTTCATACTTCAGCTCATACTCCTAACTCCCAGAGGGCTTACTGGGTTCATTAATTAGCCTTGCAACTGGACTTAGACCTGAATGCACATCAGTCATTTTCATTGTCTGCGTGACCTTGAGTCAATTATTTAATGTTTCTAAGCCTTAGTGTCTCCATCTGTAAATGGGAATAATAGTCTTATGTACTTGTTAGGGCTCGTGAATATCATGTAGGTTACATGAAGTAGCATGTGAAGCACAATTCCCAGCACAGAGGTAGTTCTCTAAAGATTGGTAGGTGCCCTCCTTATCCTGGGCTTGATGCCCACATACGCACACTCTGTGGTTTCCCTGATAAATGACTGCAGTTTTAGCTGCCCATGGTGGGGCCCCGCTAGGAATGGGCTCTCCTCCTAAGCCACAGGCAGGACCTCTGACTGCCTCACAGGGGCAGGAGCTGGGGTGCAGGGGATGAAGGGATGGGTGTTACATGTTTCTCTACAAGTGGAATATGCTCTTTCTCATTGCAGCTGCCTTCTCAATCCAGATGGCACTGCCACATGCAGATGTGCAGCAGGATTCCAGGGGAATGGGACAAGCTGCACAGGCAAGTGATGGAGGAATTTGCTGGGGGGAGACAAGGTTTGCTCCAGCTGTTGAGAGACCTGTGTTCTTGCAGACTGAATGGGCAGCTGCAACTAACCACTGACAGTGAACTCAGTGTACCAAGGCGACTGATTGTGCCAAGAGGCAGGAAGCCTAGTATTTAAGGATTGGGAAGTAGGTGGGGCAATTGCATCTGTTTTCTTCTCCAAGCAGTAGTTCACAGCCTTGACATTGATTGGAATCACCTAAGAGCTTTAAAAAAACCTTTGAGGGTTTTGATTTGGTTTGATTGTCCTAGAGTATGGCCTGGGTATGGGGACCCTGGAGTGAGACAGTGTAACTCCAGGGAAAAAATCCCAGGGCAAAATACCTTTGAAACCAAAATCAGTCAAACGGAGAAATAAAGTGGGAGAAACCCATTTATTGCTTACAAGCAGCCATCCGCTTCCGCTCTCCCTTGTCTCTCGTGACCTGGCTGCAGAAGAAGGGACCCCACCCACCTCTCTGGTCCAGATATGCCCCCACCAGCCCTTGTAATTACCTACTGATATGGAGATGCTACTTCTCTCCACCCCTTAGAAACACCTATTGATATGGAGATGCACTCAGGCCAGGCAGAGATTCTGGAAATACTGCAGTTTTACCCACAGACAGAAAGGGGCTGGAGCCCTGGTTCTTCCTCCTACGTCCTACGTGGCTTGGGGGTGGGACGGCTCTTAACTGCTCCGAGCCCCCTTAACTCATTTGTAACATAAACATAAGACCACCTCCCTGGCAGAGGGATTGGGGATAAGAGAGCCTCTCTGTGTACAATGGCAGAATGATGCAGCTGTTAAAAATGGCCCCAGCATTAGACTCTCCATGCTTAATTCTAAATTCTTACAATTTGTGCTATCTTGGGAAAATTGTTCAACTGCTCTTTGCATCATTTTTTTCATCTGTGAGTTGTAGATAATAAGAGAATCTCCCTCTATGGATTGTTAGGGGATAACCTGGATTAATACCTGTGATGTGCTTAGAATAGCTGTCGCATACAGCGCTCAGTAAATGTGAGCTAATAGAATTCCAATGACCAGCACATAATTGGTGCTAGAAAATGGAAAGCCTTAGCATCATTTTTCTCTTGAGCACTGTGTCCAGGCAGGCTCTGGTCCAGAATGTGGTGGAGCTGGACAGCGATCACACCAATCTGCCTTCTAGACCATCTTACCCTGAGGCTTTTTCCACACATAGGTACTGACCTGGTCCCAGATGTTTCCTGCAGTAGGATGTATACAGTATGCTAGTGAAAACAGCTGGAAAAGGAAATAACTGGGTTGTTTTCCTTGGCCTCTGTTCTTGGGAAAAAGAGCAAAGCAGAAGACACAAGTTATTAAGAGAACAACCTACATTGCTATAGCACTTTCATCACTTTCATATGCATTATTAGATGTAAGTCCCAAAACCTGTAAATAAACCTCTATAGGTGGACACCCTGAAGTTCATATTCATTAAATAGCTTGTCCAAAATCATACGGTGAGTGAAGGCCAAGCCAAGACTCAAACACACTCCTTGGGACTCCAAGTGAGTCTAGTTCTTCGTCCACTTTGAATTAATTTTTGTATATATTGAGGCTGAGATCCAAATTCATTCTTTTGCATGTGGATATCCAGTTGACTCAGTATCATTTGTTGAAAAGCTTATTCTTTCCCCCATTGAAACATCTGGGTGCCTTTGTGGAAAATCGATTGATCCTAGATGTATGGATAGTTGAAAGGGCTTATATCTGGACTCTGAATTCTATTCTATCCTTATGCTAGTACCACACTGTCTTTATGGTTAAGTTTTGAAATTAGGGAGTATGAGTCCTCCAATTTTCTTCTTCTTTCTCAAGATTGTTTTGACTATCCTGGGCCCTTTGAATCTGTATATGAATTTTACAATCATCACGTTAATTTCTGCAAAGAAGTTACCTAGGATTTTGATAGTGTTTGCATTGCACTGTGGATCAATTTGGGGAGTGGTGCCACATTAGCAGTGTTATTTCTTCCAATTAATGAACATGAAACATATTTCCATTATTTAGGTCTTCTTTCGTTTCTTCCAACAATGTTTACAGTTTCAGAGTGTAAGTTTTATACTTTGCTTGTTCAATGTATTCCAAAGTATTTAATTATTTTTGATACTACTGTAAATGGAATTGTTTTCCTAATTTTGAGTTCAGCTTGCTCATTGTTACTGTATAGAAATATAATTGATTTTTGTCTGTTGAACATGTATCCTGAAACCTTGTTGAACTTGTTTATTGGCTCTAAGTTTTTCAGTAGATTCTTTAGGATACTCCATATTCAAGATGATGTCATCTGCACATAGAGATGGTTTTACTTCTTCTTGTCTAATCTGGATGCCTTTTACTTCCTTTTCTTGTCTGATTACCCTGGCTAGAAACGCCAGTAAAATGTTGACTAGAAGCGGCCAGAGTGGGTGTCATTGTCTTATTCCTGATGATGGAGGAAAGCGTTCAGTCTTTCACCTCTAACTATGACTTGAGCTGTGGGTTTTTCATAGATGTCCTTTATCAGGGTAAGGAAGTCCCCTTCCTGTTGAGTGTTTTCATCATTAAAGGTGTTGAATTTTGTCATATATTTTTGTTCCTTCTATTGAGATGCACATGCGTTTCTCTTTAATTCTATTGATATGCAGTATTAAATTAAATTTTGGATGTTAAATCATCTTGCATTCTTATATAAATCCTTCTTGGTTATGGTGTATAATCCTTATTATGTATTGCTAAATTTGATTTGCAGATATTTTCTTGAGAATTTTTGTGCCTATATGCACAAGAGATATTGGTCTATAGTTTTCTTGTGATGGATTTATCTGATTTTGATACCAAGGTAATAATGGCCTCATAAAACAAATTGGGTTTTCCCTCCTCTTCCAGTGTTTGGAAAAGTTTGTGAAAAATTGGTATTTATTTTTCCTTAAATGTTTAGTAGAATTCACCAGTGAAGACATCTGGTGTTTTCATTCTTTTGCATTATCCATATTAAATCCAATGCCATTTTGAACTATCTTCTGTTTCTCAAGGACGCCAAGTGAAAATCCATCCATGGCTTTTCTTCCTGTCCTCATTCCTCTGTTCTGTTATCATTCTCTCCTACAGCAATCAATGCCTGTGAGATCAGCAATGGAGGTTGCTCCACCAAGGCTTACTGTAAAAGAACCACCCCAGGAAGCCGGGTGTGCATGTGCAAGGCAGGCTATACTGGTGATGGTATTGTGTGCCTAGGTAGGTACCACCTGTCATCCGTCTGGTGGCAAGGGTTTAAAAGTCAGAGCCCTGTTATATGGTCTAAACTGTGGGCTCTTATAATTAGAACATGCCACTACTAGGATCATCTCTCAGTTTGTTTGGGCAGGAAGGTATGAGGGTATGAAAATGTGACTGCTGGGATATGAAGGTATATAATGTCCAAAAATTACTTTGGAAGGAGAAAAGGGGAACTTTTTCTAATTGAAAATTATGGTGGTGACTGAATTTTTTAGTGTCTATTATTTTTTTATACAACTTACACATTCTCACTGTAGAAAAGTTAGAGAATGCATATATCCTGGGGGAAAACATTCTGGAGATAATCACTCCTACCATGGTTGTATTACCCCATTTTGCTATATATACATGTATTTTTTTAAACAAAAATTGTATCTCATGATACATAGTATTTAGTATGCTTAGTAATATGAAAGAACAACTCTCCCTAAAAATAAATGTACCTCCAAATCATTATTTTAATAGTGACATGCTGTTCTTCTATAAAGGTAAGCCACAGTAGGTTGTCTAAATTTTAATATTTTGGCTGTTAAAAAAAATTCACACAGAAGAGTTGCAAGAATAGTACCAAAAAGACCCACTTGGTCTTTACCTAGATTCACTTATTGTTAATGTTTTGTCCCATTTGCTTTATCATATGGTCTCTTTATATCTATATACATCTATTTTTTCTAAACCATTTGAGAGTAAGCTATAATAGCATGCTCCCTTTATCTTTAAATACTTAAGTGTATTCAAGAATAAAGATAGACTCTTACCTCACCACACATGGTTATCAACTTCAGTAAATTCATTATTGATATAATACTTTTTTTCTAATTACCGTTGTATTCTAATTTTATCAGGGACCCAAGAATGTCCTTTTTTTGACATTTCTTTCCTCCAGTACAAAATCCAGTTTAGGGTTGGGTATCGCCTTTCACTGTCACGTCTCTTTAATGTCCTTTAGGTAGGATGATTCCTCAGCCTTGCTTTGTCTTTTACGACATTGACATTTGGGAAGAATATAGTCCACCACTCCTACTTTTTTTGATAGCATGTCCTTCATTTCAGGTTTGTCGGGTATTTTTGCATGGTTATATGCAGATATGCATTCCAGACCCAATATCACATGAGGGGTGTTGCATCTGTCCATCTCAGGGTATCACACTGAAGGTTCTGGATTTCCAATTGCCTCTCATTTGTGATGTTACTTTTGACCTCTTGGTCAAGGTGCTGTGTGATTTCTCCACTGTACAATTGCTTTTTCCCCATTGCTACTAATAAGCAATCAGGGAGGAGACACTTTAACACCAAGCAAATACCTTTTCCTCATCAGAAGTCCTCCTAAATTTAATATCTATTGATGATTCTTCCCCGAACCAACTGTGTTTTGACAGTTGTGAATGATCTTTTTAAATTCATAAGTCTCTTCATTCAGTGTGTTGGATTGGATGCCAGAATTCTATTATTTCAAGTCATTGGCTGCAAACACTCATACTCATTCAATAGAGGAACAGATTCAAGCCCACGGACTATGCCTCTGCTGGCACCATCCTAACCCAGAAGAGTCGCTTTTGAGAAGCTGTATCTGGGACCCTCCCTGTTGGGTTACTGCCACCTGAAAGTTATCAGAAAACTGAATCGCACTTTGATACCTGATCCTGTTGGTCAGTTAGCCATCCAGGCTGGTCCCTCAAGATGCCTTTACTTGAAAATGAGGCTTGATTCTCATGCCAGGTGTTGGCCTTTTCCTTTAAGAGATCAATCCTTGTTTGGAGAACAATGGTGGCTGTCACAGGAACGCAGAGTGCACACAGACAGGACCCAACCAGGTGAGCTTTGCCTCCCAGGGGTCCCTAAGTGTTCCAGGAGCAAATGCCTGAGGGAAGGGGGCTAAGAACAGACCTCTGGGGAGCAGCAGTGTAAAATAACACTTAAGGGGAAAATCTGAAACAATTCCCATAGAAGCCATTCTTTGGGGATGAGAAAAAATGCCAGGGAGGTGGGGAGGTAGGAGACAAAGGTGGTTGAGGGGCCTTCCTAGAGTGGTGAGGAGTAGGCATCTGGAAACACCACATGGTTCCAGAACCACCTAGAAGATCTTCAAGAATACCCCGCTTCCTTTCAGCTTTTTGATGCCCAGAATCCTACAACTTTTCTTTGACCTGAGGCTCTGAAATGCATGTACCATAGCAGAAGATATGTTCTCAGTCCCTCCCTTGGTCATATAGTCCCTAACACAGTGAGCCTTGCAGCACCTCCCTAGAGAGCAGATTTGGGGAGGTGGCAAAAATTTGAGGGCTCCAGCACAAAGTTGGGGAGAGGTTGAGGGGTGAATAAAGCATGGCTGGGGAAGCTGGAGGCACAGAGACCCAAACTCTGCCTCCCTCAGACTCTGTCCCATTGAACATAAGCACAATGGTCAGGCAGGAAATGACATACATCAGAAATTGGATGATGAAGTGAGATCCCCTGTGAATGTTCTATTGACCTTGCTGAGTCATTCAGAGACCTCAGTACCACATCTCCCAATGAGCAGATCAAGCAAGTGCCTAAAACACCAGAAAATAAGAAAGAAAGAAAAAATTATTTTGAAAAACTGTGTGTGTGTTTACATATATAGTCATAGAGAAAACCAGAACACTCGATTTTGGGCCACCTTATACATATTTTGCAATTGAGTAGAGTTCTTATTCCATACCACATAGGGGATTCAGAAAATGGGGAAAACCTATAAGTTTTTGGTGCTTAGGGCTTCTAAAAGTCCTTTCCCAGATCTAGAAGGCAGTGAGAGGGAGTTGGGGTTGATCTCTAATTCAGGATCTTAGCCCAGGACATGTAGCTGGTGGGCATCTTGGCAAAGGTTTAACCCAAATCAGGGCCTGTAATGAAGGAAGAGGTGGAGAGGCAGAGAAAACCTGCCACGTGGCCGTGGAGGAGCCCAGAACAGACCTGAGGAGCCAATGAGTTCAAGTTCTAACAAGCAGATGTCAGACTAGAGCCACGTCTCCTGTAGGAGAGGCTTATGTATGGATTATAAAAGCCCCTCTTGGGTGGACTCATAAGAAGTGGGGGCCCCTTCCTCTGGGCACATGGCTTGGTGAATAGTGCAGAGCTGGGTCTCAGCCCTGAGCCCAGATGCTCCAAGCACATATGATACGGAGATGAAACCGACAGTCCCCAGGCTCCTGAAGACAACATCCCCTCACTCATCTTGAAGCCCCCAACTGACTTCCGTGGCCAAACAGTGAGGCTGACTGACTGTTTTCATGCGAGCACCCGGTCTGACTCCAGAGCCCTCTGCGGGCCCCTCCCAGCGCTGGCGCCTGTGGGCTGAGCCTGGGTGGAGAGGAGTGAGAACTGCAGATGAAGGGCAGGGGACCATAGCTGAGCTTCTGTGCAGATGAACCTTTACGAGCCAAAGGGAGAAAAGAGGCAAGCCCTGAGAAGGCAAGGGACTAAGAAGGTAACAAAGTTTTAAAAGCAGAAGTCTCTTGGCAGCAAGAAGATCCCAGTGCTAGAGTGAAGTGTGCCAGATGTGCTAAAATGTAAGATGACAATTACCCCTCTAGAATAAATATGACCAATATCAGATATAGACTTTTCTGCCATTACCACTACTGTTAGAGAAGCTGAGCATGAGAGCCTACAGAACTGTCTGTACGGTGACCCATCTCCCTCTCCCCCTGACACAGGCTGTCTGTAACTGTCTGCCAAAATACACGGGAGATGGGAGGGTCTGCACACCCATCAACCTCTGCTTATCGGTGAGTACGGCTCTAGCCCACGCCTCAAAGGGCAGGCCTGGGTGCCTCCTGCCAGGAGATGGGCGTTTGAGCTCAGCACCTCTTCTGGGCCATGAGGCTCATTTCTCCCTCGTGTTCCAGTTTTAATGATGGAGAAACTCTAGGCTTTGCCTCTGTCTTCACATGACCTTCCCCTCTGGGTCCAGGGCTTTTCAAATCTAGGATGATCTCACATTGAGATACTTAATTGCATCTGCAAAGACTCTAAGCAAGGTCACATTCACAGATACCAGGGTGTAGGCCATGGACATACCTTTTGGGGGACCACAGTTCAACCCATCCCAGACCAGGGAGAGTGAAGGTCCTTGCTCAGTCACAGAGCGAGCACATGGTACAGCCAGAACTTGAACCCATGTCTGTCTGACTCAAAGCACCCTTGACTGTTGCTTGTGGTGCAGAGGAGGCCCAGTCCGTACACTTTACTTCCTTATTTGGACACTGCCCACCTGAGTTCCCCTACCTGTGGGCCTAAGGATGGTGCAAGCACCCCATAATTAAAGCCCTTCCTCTCTGAGTTGAGGTTCCCTACTGACCCCCGTGTTGGTCTGGCCAATTCTCCAGGAGAACATGTCCCCACATGAAATGACGGTGTAAGGCTAGTAAGGAAAAGCCGCCGAGCAGGGGCTGGGTGCAGAGTTGTCATGACCAGGCCTGTGGCATTTGAACAGCAGCTCTTCAGAGCCCATTTCCATTTGTTTTATTTAATACCCACCTTGTCTTGACAGCTAATGCAATGAACCCACATGTACCTGACACTCAGGTACATGAGCCATTAACTCACCGCCACTCTTCTTTCATCTGTACCCATGACTGTCACCACCCACTGGATTCTTTCCAAGAAGAAAGCAAGTTTGTTTTCTGGCACGATGAGTAATATTAAGGCATGTTTTTGTGCTGCTGAGTATGAGCCAAGAGAGAGGGGACACTGATATTGAAGGAGAGAAGGCAGGTGGTTACAGGAGGGTGGTTACAGGAGTGAGGGAGGGCAAGGGGACCCAGAGCTCACAGGTGTGGAGGTGAGCCTGAGATTAGAGCAGGGGCAGTGGTAGGTAGGCAGTTAGTCCATTAGTTGGTCAGTCAGGCAGTTAGTTAATCAGTTAACCAGATAGTAAGCCAGTCAACTAGTCAGTTGGTGAGTCACTCATGGGCACCTGCTTCAGGTGGGCCATTACCATGAATTAACTTGGAAAGGTCTATGTCTGGCCACTCTAAATAAATTCCTCTTTCTATGAAGACAGATGGTGTGCATTTCTATATAGCCAGAGGGAAACCTTCCATGGTATGACACACACCTCGGGCACTGGGCATTGATGGGTACCAGGCATGTTGGAAGCACTGGGAACTCATTCCTGACCAGGCAGCCAAGTCTCTTTCCTTAAAGAGTTTACATTTATGGGGAAGAAATGGACACTTAGTGCGTAAATGACTTGTCAGTCAGTCAGTCAGTCAATCAGTCAGTCAGTCAGTCAGTTGTTAGCTCATTCATTGGTTAAATAAGGAAAGCGGAGTCGGGGAGTTCAGGGCCAGGCAAGCAGTGAACTTCAGGACAGGAAGATGAGGCATGTTGGTTCGCAAGCTCCGGCAGAGCTTCCCGGGTGTCATCTGAAACAGGCCCCCCATACATGCAGGGCAGGGAGAGACTGAAGAAAGCCTCAGGCCCCTCCAGGTGGGTAGGTGGCAGGTTTGATAAGCAAAGGGCATGTCCATATGAGGTTTGTCCTGAAAGGCCTCAAGACCCTTACAAGATCTCTGCACTGCCCGCCAAATCTTAACAGTTTGATAGAAGCCTTAACTGGGTTCAGGCACATGTACTGTCCGGATGGTCTCAGCACCACTTCACTGACTCAAGGCTGTGTCCTGGGGGCAGTCTCTGGGGGCAGGAAAGGCAGGCAGAACCCACATTCCAAGGGTGGCGAGGGGCAAGGAGCCTCCAATTGCTGGGGTCCAGCTCATGGGACAGCTGGCAGTCATGTGTTCTCGAGGACGGTCCCCAACAGGTGGTAGTTGTCTGTCTACCTTCTCCATGAGATATGAATTGAGTTCATCCACTAAGAGTGAGGGTCAGGGATTTAGAGCCGCAGAGAAAGGTGCATGTAAGAGATGAATTCTCCAGGGAGAGAAAAATTAAATGTACCGGACAAGTACAGAAGTGGTCATGTTTATGCATGTAACTCTAAAGGGAGTCCAGACAGGACATACATGGGACAACAGTGCCCTGCCAGGAGGGCAGGCCCAGAGGTGGCAGAGTGGGTGGGCTAGAGTCCACCAAACACTGTGCTGGAGGGAGAGAGGAGAGGTGGGGCTCTCACTGCCTGGCCATCCGGGCCGTGCTAAGACACAGCCAGCAACAGGGCCCCAGGTGGGCTGAGTGGATGGGTAAGACATAGGTGAGAAACAGGCCCAGGGAGGGGCGGGCCCTGCAGGCCAGAGGAGATCAGAGCTGCAGCGTCAGAGGGAGGTTGAGCTGATGAAAGCTGGCAGGCAGAGAAAGCAGGATACTTGGAACAGAGCTTTCAGGAGCCGGCCGCTCTAATGTTGAGACAAAGGCAGGGGTGGTCAAGGCGTGGTGGCAGGGGTGGAGTGGGGACAGGGGCAGTAGAGCTCATTGACAGGGATGTCGGCACCACCAAAGATGTCACAGGCATGGAGGGAAAGCCAGTGATGCAGGTGCCACTGCCAGGACCAAAGCAGAAGAAAGAGCAACTGCAGGGTCCATGCGCTCTGAGGGAGCCGGGCTTGTAAAGGGGGAGGAGGTAGAAGTACTTGGAAGTGGCGATGCTCAGTGAGAAAGATGCCATCCCAGCCCCAGACCATGAAGTGTGGGGTGAGGGAGGAGGACAGCCTCACATGAGAGCCTCCAGGAGAACTGTTTGCAGGAGGCAGACGCTTCTTCAGTAAGAGGTGACGAGAGCCTTCTGGGAACAGGTAGAGACTGTTGGAGTTTGCTAATGTGGCCGTGACCTCAGATGGCACCAGAAGGGTTTGTGAGGGCAGTGGGAAGGGACGGGATCAGATCACAGTCACACAGTATAGTGTCCGTGTGGTAGGGCATAACCCTGGACACCTAGACCTCTGCTGTTGACTGAGATCAACAGGAAGGTGGGATAAGAGGGGATTCATCCTGGTGATCTTAGGGCATGTTGGGTATTGGGACAATACAGTCCAGGGCATTTGGCTGGAAGATCCAGGGTCTTCCTGGCTGATGGCTAATAGTCTCTCAGGGGCCAACAGCTCACTTTGCTGTGTCACTTTGATGCAGGAATCTGGGGCACCAAGACCCTCCTGAGCTGAAATATACTCCACAGATACTTTGGGAACACAAAGTGGGAGGGAAGGAAGATTTTAGGACTGTCCACCTCCTTCTCTGCACAAAGCAACGGGATTTTTTTGTCCCAAGCTTTACATTCTTCCCCATTCAGAAACTTTACTTAGCTGCAGAACCCTTCTTACCGTTCCCATGGAGGCTGGTTGTAAACTATACTTTGCTTTCTCAGTATTTAAGTCTCAGCCCCATTTCCCACAGTTTATAAGCTTCTTTGCAGACATGGACAGTGTGTTCTATTTTACACCAACTGCCTTCTAGCTGATGACGGTTACTTTTGCTATGATGGGACCAGAGTTTAGCCTAAAGCTGGAAAGTGTCAAACAAGATTGGTGCCTTTCTAGTTAGCCCTCAGGTGCTGAGAAATTCCCATTTGGCCACTCGGAGCATACTTGTACAGGACTGGAGATCCAGCCGAACCCGTTGTCTTGGGTTTATGAATATCACTTTATGAATATCAGCAGAGCAGGCAAACCAACCAGTCTGATTCCTATCCCCCACCCCTTGGAAATTTTACCAGAAAAATGGCGGCTGTAGTGAATTTGCTATCTGCAGTCACACTGCGCAGGAAGACAGGACCTGTACGTGCAAGCCGAACTACATCGGGGATGGGTTTACCTGCCACGGCAACATCCAGCAGGTAATGCGAGGCACGTTTCTGTAAAGTAACCTCACTGTGCTAAGAATCCAGGTAGCCAAGGAATGTGCAAGAGCTTTGTAGCATATAAAGTTCTGCAAAATTGTGAAAGACTTCTTATATAAAGTATCAATGAAAATAAATTTTATCTACCCACGGGAATTCATCTGACCTGGACCGTAATGATTTAGATCAACGGTGCCACAGTCAGAAACCCTTCGGACAGATTACATCATCTCATCTCTCTAGGCATCAGTTTTCTAATCTGTAAAAGAAAATGATAGAGGTACCAACCCCATTAGGTTGTTATACAAATTAGATGAGACAGTGTATGTAACAGGCACAAAGCACACAGGAACTCAAAGGCATTGCCACAAAGGGATGGCCGTCACTGTGTGTGTGTGTGTGTGTGTACGTGTGAGCATCGGGACTGGGCAGTGTGGTGCTTGTAGATTTCTACCTGTTACAAAATGAACATTCTGTTTTTTGGTTTAAAGAGAGATTACAGCATTCTGGCTGATCAACTATTCTTGTTAATAGAGAAACTAAATCTGCCATAAACCCATAACAGATTTTTTTTTTTAATATTTGAACCTTTAAAAATGCTCTTAAAGCTCAGATGCTTCTGGAAATGGCTGAACCTTTCTATGATAAATCAGTTGGTGAGTCCAGAAAGGTTTTGGAACTCGCAGTATGTCCACATAGTCATCCTGAACATCAATTGTAAGCCTACAGATGAGACTTAGAAAAAGCCCATTGTAGCAGAATGATAGATACTCTCAATCTTAGAGAAATCGTCCTGTGATAACACTGTATTGTTCTTGAGGATAATGCATAGACATTAAGTGAACCTGCCCTGTCTTTGTCTCTAGGAGCTTCCCAGGAACCCAAAAACTTCCCAGTATTTCTTCCAGTTGATGGTAAGAACTTGTGTGTCTGTCTAGCTGTAACAGTTGGGTCTGTTTAGCTCTAACATGTGGGTCTCAAGCCAAAAGGACAGAATGTCTGGATGCATATATTATATATATACATGGTAGCCTGTAGCCTCTGGAGTTGCTAAGGGTAGAAGCAAGTCTGAGAACCTGGATTTCTGGAATAGGCTCTGTGTTGGTCTTTTGCAAACCTCTCGAGCCTCAGATGGGCAGCATGAAAGAGTGGAATTACTGTTGCAGTGGCCCATTCTACACATAAGAATGTAGTATATGAAAAAACTGCCATCCTACCAGTAGAGAGAAGAAGCGTCATTGGGGCGATCAGTTGGCTCTCTGGATGGAAATATTAAGTTAGATCTTTCTGCACATGACACATCTGAAAAAGTTCCTGATATTTTGAAGAATAAAAGGTATAAATCTCAAAGAATAAAATCACAAAATTTGGAAGAAAATGTAAGTAATCATAAATCTTGGCATTGGCAAGAAGACAATTAGAACAATTAAGTAAATCATCTCATTGCTTATATTTGTCTTATGCTAATTATGTAAAATATGTATACGTGTAAAAGATTCTGGGAAAGAATACATGAGAACAACAGGGGTGACTACTATGTGCTGGGATGGTGGATCGTTATTTTCTTCTTTATACTGCACATTTTAAATCTCTAATACAATAAGCATATGCTATTTTAATAACCAGCTAAAAATAAAGATGATTTCAATGATAAGAATCTGAATGGGTTTGAATCTAAGACTAAATAAAACACAGTTCACCCCATCCAGTTGTCATTCCTTCTGTCAGTATCTACTCTCTCTGCTGTTTGAGCCCCTGCCAGTACTTGTGTTAAGTAGGTGGCATGTGGCCCCCACCTTCCCTTCCACAGGAGCATTCTGTACAAGACCTGGTTGGTCCGGGCCCCTTCACCGTTTTGGCACCTTTATCTTCAGCCTTTGATGAGGAGCCTCGGGTGAGCATGAAAACTATGCAGAGGATGGGGGTGGAAGAGGTTTGGGACCAGAACGCAGCCTTTGAGCATCACCATGGACCCAACACTGGAGGCATTTCTGGAGACGAGATTTAGCATCTGCTGGAGCAGATTGGAAATGGGAGGGGCTGCCTCTCAGCATAGGGCCCCCTATCAGGGGAAACATTCACACGGATCTGAGATAACCACTAGCCAGAGACCCTCTAAAGGACTCTAAAGGACTTTCCTAAATAGGGTAGGAGGTTGGCAAGGATCAACAGTTTTTAAATGGTCCAAACCTCCCGTAGGCAAAAAAAAAAAAAAAAAAAAAAAAAGGAATGCTGAATCAAAGGGATTTAAATAGATTCTTTGTTTGCAGGACTTATCAGAGCCTTTACTATTCTAATATTCACTGGGACTCTTTATGGTGGATTACCTATGAATATATAATAATATAGCAAACATCTATTGAGTGTGTCAGACACTGTTTCTAGTGCCTGGCCTAGATTAACTCATTTAGTCTTCATGACATCCCTGTGATCTGAGTACTACTGTTATCCCCATTTTACCGTCAAGAGTTACATTGACAGAAGTAACTTTCCCAAGGTCACATGACCAGAAAATGGTAGAGCAAGGACTCAAACATGACTCCAGAGCCTGAGTTCTTCACCACACACACTGCCTTTCTTTGCATGTAGGGGTACTAAAATGATTTTTGAAAGAATTTGACATTTGGTAGTTTTTTAAGAAAGCATCAGAGGAATTATCATGAACACTGAGAACTTTGTAGGCTTTTTATTACACTGGCTTTATGGATAATATTGTTTGCATTTTGACTCACAAATGGAGTAACATAATGATCTTTTCCAGACGAAAGTTTCCAGGTACCTCTCTAAGAGGGGGATGTACTATGCAGTATTTCCTAGTTTTTGGACAAGAAAGCTCCTTTATCAAGTAGCCTCTCACAGGACCGGGGTCCTTGACCTGTGCTGTGAAATGCTGGGTCAGAGCAGCTTGAAGTTCTCCTCCATTCTGAGATTCTACACTGGATGCAGGAAGGGAACGAGGGCCACTTTCTCTCTCTTTAGTGAACAGCCTCTGCCCTGTAACCCTGGCCCCAAGCCAGCCCTGACTGCTTACTTCCCAGGACCTGGGGAGGGAGAACTGTTGGGGGACAGCACAGATGAGAGGACAGCCTCAGGGAACATTGGAGCAGAAGGCTCCTGGCTCTGGCTGGAACCCTCTGATTTCTATCACAGATTAAAGACTGGGACAAACAGGGCCTGATGCCCCAGGTTCTTCGATACCATGTCATCGCGTGCCACCAGCTGCTTCTGGAAAATCTGAAACTGATCCCAAATGCTACTTCTCTCCAGGGGGAGTCAATTGTCATCTCCGTCTCTCAGGTAAGAGAGGCCACTTCAGGAAGGTGCTCATCTTCTTTGGGCCTTCTCTCTTCTCCTCCTCCTTAATTTAATACCAGTAATAAGAAGAAGAACTAACACATGTTCAGTGCTTTCTATGTGCCAGATACTAGTCTTAAATATTTGCTGTGTACTAACTCATTTAATCCTCAAAACAATCCCATAATGTAGATGCTATTATTTCCCCCAATTTAAAAATTAGTAAGTTGAGCTCAGAGAAGTTAAGAAATTAGTCCAAGGTCACACAGCAAGTAAATACTAGAGCTGGAACTGAAACTCAGAGAACAGAACTGCTTTTGGAAGCATTGGTCAAAGGCTAGAGAGGAATGAAAGCTTCTGATCGCAGTCACTAGACCATGCTGGTCTCCTTCCTCCCCACAACAGAGAAACAAATGATGGCTGTAGATTCAGTGCAAAGGGAGAAAAGTATATGGTGGAGACAGAAAGGAGGTTGGTGATACACAGAACACATGTGAAAGAGAAGCCAGTTTTCATGCTTGTTATTTCTAATTTGACAATCACGGTAAAATGACTGTTTCTGTTGATATTTGCGATTCACTTCTCCAAGAGAAAATTACATTCTTGCCCCAGTTTCCTTTATATAATCATAATTTTTAAAATGTGCTCAAGTAATTGGATCTTCAGATTTTGCCCCCAGCTCCACTTAAGCTTTCACTTTCTCAATGATTTATCATGTTGGTGAAGCCTGCTGAAAGAAATGACTTTGTGTCTATTTCTCTTTGTACTCATTTCTTTTTTTCCTTCTTGTTGGTTGATTTCAGGATAAGGTGTTTATAAATAATAAAGCCAACATCATATCCAGCGATATCATCAGCACCAATGGAATCATTCACATCATAGACAAGTTGCTCTCTCCCAAAAACATGCATGTCACTCCTAAAGATGCCTCCGGAAGGATTCTGGTGGGTTGACTCATTGCCGTAGTCTCAGCCCTGCGTGACTCATAATACGCAGAATTTATTGTCTCAATTCTGATTTTGAGGCATTGTTCTGAGACGTTTTAATTTTGCTGCTTTGATCTCAAAACTACTATTAAAAGCCTAGTAAATATTGTTGTTAGTAAGAAGCAAATAGGTCGAAGTCTGATTTTGTAAGATTTCCTTTGGTGTCCATGACAGGTGGTCTTGCATAGATTTGAAAGATGGACAAGTTATATAGATGGATGATAGATAGATAGATAGATATGGATACATAGGTATGTATCATTAAAGCTAAACCTGGAATAAAACTCCTCCATTGACAGAAAAGACTATTTTAATTTTTATTGTTATTTAGGATTGGCCAGGGTTCACTGCAGACCACAGAACCCACTATATCTAACTTATACAAAAAGGAGTTTTAAAATATTAAGTACATCACCAAATCCCTGCCAGTGCCACCTGTCTCCAGCCTCATCACCAAGGACATGAGAGTTGGGATACCAGACGCCTCCACCATGGTGCCTGTCAAAAAGGCTCTCTCTACTAGCAGCCACTGCCACCTCCTGTTACTTCTTTCCACCAATAAGTCCTGCACCAGCGCTTCTGCTTGGTGGATCCTCTATCACATATGGGCTCTCGCTGCAAGGGAGTCTGGGAAAATGGAGTGCTTAGCCTTCAAGCTTCCAGAGCTGGAGTGGGCACTGATAAGCCAATCTACAGTACCTGCCGTGTTATCATACTTGTACTTTATTCAGTTGAGCTTTTGTTAAAGTGTTTTGTAAATTGTATGAAGAAAGATATCATTCCCATTTTTATTATCTTTGCAGCAAAATCTTACGACGGTAGCAGTAAACCATGGCTACGTCAGATTTAGCAACTTAATACAGGTAAAAAAAAAAACCTGTGGGATAACCTGCCTAAAGAGGTTTGTTTTCTGGAGGGTCTTTCATAGGTTTTTTGGTGGTTTTGTGTTTGTTGTTTGCTGTTTTGTATTGTTTGGGTCACGAGTCAGCTGCTGTGTGATCTGTGATCTGTGTGGGGAAGTGTGAATTTTCTAGAGAAAAAAGTCATTCTCTGCCATTCCAGTCCCAAAATGTATGGTTTGCTGAGCTATATAATGTACATTGGCTGAGTTAGAAATGGATGTATTTGAGGAATTCATGTGTGCCAGTCCCTGAACAGATGCTTCACACCTGGACTTAGCACGTTGATTATAGAAGCGGGCAAGTTGAGAGGCAGAATGGAGACATCTTTGTGAGACAGGTAGACATTGCATATAAAACCATATCTTTCTGACTTCAGAGACAGTTCCCACAAATGAGTAGAGGAATTCCCTGTTCAACCAAGGTTTCTGAGGAGAAGCAGGGAGAAACAGGGTCCTCTGAGATCCCCTCTCCTCCACCTGCCCCCAAGAAATCCTAGGAGGGCTTTAAGAACCCAGGGTGGGACCCCCACAGCACAGTCTACCAACCTCTGCATAGACCAGTGGTTTCCAAAATGGCCTGGGGAATCTCTGGAGAGCTTTTTAGAAACAGAGACTTCAAGGTGTTCAAAATGAGAATCTCCAGGAATGTTACAGACAAGAATCTTTACCCACTCATCTACCCCTAAAACTTCTTGGTCATCCCCACACCTGGGCATCAGGTCTGGTTAAACAGAAGCTTTTATAGGAAGTAAGCCAATCCCCCAGGGCTCATTAAAAGGGAATAATAAATCCTGCTTCATAGGGCTGTTGGGAAAACTACAAGAAAAATGTGTATGATGCATCCAGGTTATAGAATGCTCTCAGAATGATTTTTCCCCATTCATCTGGCACTTTCTTTTTTGAATCTTTATGATCTAGAAATCATATAAATATGCAGGAGTATTTCAATTTTGTATAGGTTTCACTTTTTTAAATGAAATATAAGAATAATTTCTTCCAGAAATTAAAATATTTGGGTAGGAGTAGTAGTAAAAAGAAAAGAAAAAAATATCTTTGCCAAAGTTTGTATTTCCATCAACAAAAGCCAAGAATTTAACTTTTTGCTGCGCTTTCTAAGAAAATGAGGGTCAGAATGGCTGGAGTGTGATGGGCTGCTAGCTGGGGCTGTGTCTCCCTCGAATCAGCCTGAGCCCTAATAAGCCCAAGGGCAGGCCTGGTGGGGACCGCCCCCCTTTGGGTGGCTTGCGTCTCCTGGCTGCGCTTTGCTGTGCATGTGAGCTGCTCCCTGTGTTTCAGGATGCAGGCTTGCTGAGCCTCATCACCGACCCTGTCCACACTCCGGTCACCCTCTTCTGGCCCAGCGACCAAGCCCTCCAAGCCCTGCCCCGCGAACAACAGGATTTCCTGTTCAACCAAGACAACAAGGACAAGCTGAAGGAGTACTTGAAGTTCCATGTGATCCGAGATTCCAGGGTATTTTGTTTCCCCACAGGTGTGAGTGCAGGAGATGCCCCCACCCACCCACCCACGGGATGAGCAAATGCAGGAATTGGCCCCGTGGCTCTGCCTCCCCAGGATGAAGGCCCCACCTGTCCTCCTCTGATTGGCATGGTTAATCGGCCGGAGCAGTGTACACCACACCTGGTTCTGCTTCTCAGCCCTGCCATTACTTTGTTTCCTAACTTTAACCACTCTCCGAGGGCATCCTTCCCCCTTGTACTGCAGATCACCCTTCTCTCCCCGCTAGTCCTCACGGCTGTTGACACTGTTCCCAACTTTCTGCAGATGGACTCTTTCTCTCCCAAATTCTAAAATTTCTAGACAAAGGACTGATTCATCCAGCTGCCATCAGCTGTTCACTCCTGAACCGATCTACTGTGATGAGGGAAGCAAGACCTCGTAGGAACATGGCAGTGCATGCTGACCCCCTGTCACTTTGAGTCCTCAGCCAGGACCCGTGGTCCCCTCCAGGAGTGAATCTATCTAATCCTAGAATGCCAGATGCCCTAACTTTGGTTAATTCCTAAGACCTGTATTAGTTACCTTGGGCGGCCATAACAAATTGCCACAGGCAGGTGGCCTAAAACAACAGATTTATTCTCTCAGAGTTCTGGAGGCCAGGAGTCTGAGGTCAAGGAGCTGACAAGGGTGTGCCTTCGGGAGGTGCTGAGGGAGAATCTGTGGCATGCCTCCCTCCTCCCTTCCGGTGGCTGCCAGAAATCCTTGGCATTCTTTGGTGTTTCTTGGCTTCGTGATGCAGTCTCCGTCACTGCTCTCACATGGCTGGCTTCTCACTGTGTATTTCTGTGTCTCCACATGGCATTCTCCTCTTCTTTTCTTCTTATAAGGACACCAGTCATATTGGATTAAGGGCCCACTCTAGTCCAGTATGACCTCAACCTCACTAATTACATCTGCCCTGGCCCAGTTCCCAAGGTCACATTCTGAGGTAATAGGGGAGAGGACTTCAGTATAACTTTAGAGGGCACCCAATTCAACCTATAATAGCCCCCTATGCCATTTCCCTAACCCAGTGATACTGCTACTGGCTTCATACACCAAGACAACATCTTCCTCAGATTCCCAAGTGTGATGAGGGATGGGAGGGTGGTTGAAACCAGCCTCGCTGGAGAGACCGTCACCCAAGAAAGACTTCCCAGCTTCCTGGAGAGCCCATGATCATTCTCCCTTTTGATGATCTCTACTGTCACTTTAAAGCTGGAATCATTACAAGTGTTGGAAAACTTGTGTCTGAATTTGGCTGGTCCGGCGCAGTGCCTTTGGGCCGTCCCTCAGCCGGTCTGGGTGTGAGTGGGGTCTGTCACTCCAACAGGTTTCATCGGTGGACCTCCCCAGAGCCGCTGTCTGGAAGACCCTGCAGGGTTCAGAGCTGAGCGTGAAGTGTGGGGCCGGCAGTGACATTGTGAGTATTGTGCCCCGGGTGCAGGGTGAGGATGCGCCAACAGCGATCCCCAGTCACCACCCCTTCAAGATGTTCACGTTTGATTCTGTTGACAGTGAGCTTGGTTTTCTCACTGTCTTTAGGGGCATTTCCCTGAGGGTAAGTAAATGGACATGGCAAACCTGATGAGCGCCGGCCAGCCCAAGCCCTTGTGACAGGGGGAGGCCCTACTTACACTCGTAGAGAGCAGCTTTTGGTCAGTTTTTTTGTTTGTTTAGTAGAACATTTTTTTCCATTCTGACACACTGAAGCAGGAAAGTGTACTGTCATTCCGTTCCCTTCCACCCCAGCCCCTCTGCTGTCTCACCTTGACCCCTTTCTTGGCAGTCAGAGCCACTTCTGGGCTATGTCTACTGAGATCAGCCAGCAAAGAGAAAACTTGCAATTTTCACCTTCCCTGGCTAGTTCCTGAACAATACTACCATCCTGTAATTCCGATGATGAATAGTCTGATAGGATAATATTTGCTACACCCTAAATCTTGCATAAAATGGAAAACCCAAAATGACAGTGGCTTAACTATATAGAGGTTTATCTCTTTTGTAAAAGAAATATGGACGTAGCCAATCCAAAGCTATATGGTGGCTTAGTGCAGAGAGCTTTTTCTGTCTTTCTGCTCCACAGCGCATGTTTCTGGCTTCACAGTCACCTCAAGGTCCAACTTCGCTGCTGGAGCTCCAGCCACCATGTCTACTTTCAAGGCAGTAGGAAGGTGGAAGGGCAAAAGGGAAGCAGCTCCCAGCTAAGCTGATTCCCCTCAAGAAGGCTTGTAAGAAGTCCCATGTAACATTCTGTTTCTATGTTTATGACCAGCCAGAATCCCTTTTGTGTTTGGATTGGAATTACCCTGGATTTATAACTGAATATGAGGAGTGTTAGCATCTTTATGTTCCAACTCCTGGAAAGTTGTCCTAATGTGCTTATACTTTTGAGACCAGCTGTGCTGTCTCTATAGACCAAACCAGACACCTGTCAAAGAAGCCGAACTGCTCATTCAGTGTGCAAATACAGCTTTCAGAGCATTTTGTACTGTGTTTACTCTTTGATTGGATCTTTATCACAACTCTATGTAATGGAATCATTAATCCTATTTACTGGTGAAAAAAACCACCTCAGAGAAGTTGACTTAACCTGCTCACAGTCACCCAGTGCCTGTGTGGAAATGGAGGCATTTAGCCACAGTTTCCAGTGTTCTTCGCACTGAATCTCACTGTGTCCATCCCATCCAGTGATGCTGAGATTCCTCTTCTTTCTTTTCACAGAACTTTCTAAAAGTATTTCACTTCCTGACAGGAAAATGTATCCATCAACTTACTAGTTGGATGGACCTTAAGGAAAAACGCCCCAGGATTTTTGCAAGCATTCAGTGAAATAATGTATCTACAGCACAAATTAGACAATGCCTGCTACATGAGAAAAGAATTTGTTACTATTGTCTTTATAGTTAAAGCTCATCACTGGAGTAAAGGCTGGGCCAGGCCCTTGGGATGACTGCACGTGAAGTGGCCATGTCAGCAAAGGTTATCCTGACCACAGCCATGCCGTCCCTTTCTACCCTGTCACCCCCACTGCCACTGTTTCTATTTTAGTAGATGGAGGGTTGCTGAGCAGCCAGAGTGTGGGCTCAGAGGCTGACTGCCCGGGTATGAATCCCTACACCACCGGGCTGCCTGACCTTCAGCAAGTTATTAAACCTCTACTGTCTCAGTTTCCTCATCTGGAAATGGGAATACTAGTAATAGTAGCTACCTACTAGGGTTGTTTTGAGGATTAAAAGAATTTGCATAGGTAGCACATGTTGATCAGTACTTGGCACATAATAAATGCTGAATGTTTGCTATTATATATATATATTCTTAGTTCTTTCTGAGGCTTGCAGGTGCTGGCCACAGTGTATAGCCTAGGAAGAAAAGAAGTCTGAGCATTGGTGACTATTCTCTCTCTCTCTCAGGGTGATCTCTTCCTGAACGACCAATCATGCAGAATTGTGCAGCGGGAGCTCCTGTTTGACCTGGGTGTGGCCTATGGCATTGACTGTCTACTCATTGATCCCACCCTGGGGGGCCGCTGTGACACTTTTGCCACATACAGTTTCTCGGTCAGTCCTAAAAACAATACTGTCGTAGCAGAACCTTGGAGCAAAGAGCACCCCTCGTGATGTAGCCTGGACCCTGCGGTGAAAACACTGTGGGGAGGTCCTCAGGACCCAAGAGACTGGGGGCTGAATAACGCTGTTCTTCAGACTCAGAATCAACAAGCATCTATTTAGCCATGTATAGGCCTTGCATACTCTCGGTTATCCACCCATCCACCCATCTATTCATTCCCTCGCCATTAAGGAAACAGTTGTTGGTTACCAACGATGGCCAGCTATTCCGCCAGTCACATTCAAACCCACCCATCCATTCAGTCATTCACTCCTTCATTCAACAAACATCTTTTGAGATTGTGCCAGATGAAACCATAATGAAATTGCCATATCTGACAGGGTGTGACTACAAAAGTGGTAACTGCATATAGTTCAAATGAATATTCTATGCCACCCAGGCCTCCATTCACTTATTCATTCATTCAACAACATTGGTTGCACTCTATTCTGGGCCCTGCTTGTACAAGGCAGTTCCACATTTTGCATTTCATTCCTCCATCAGGTACCATTTATTAAACCCCACCTCTGAGCCAGCCATTTGGCTCAATGCTCATCTTACCCCTACAATAATCCAATAACAGAAGTAGTTGTCATCACCTCTATTAGGTAAATTTGCAAAATGAGTCTCCAAGAGGTAAAGTGACTTACAGGGCAAAGTCTGTCACCAGTTTGGCACCTGGCAACTTGTAGGCATTCAGTAAATATCCCAAATTCCTCAGATACCAATGAGCCAGAGTAGGAGCTGAAGAACCAGTTATTCTTTCTGCTCTAGAGGTTGTGTCCCTCTTAACTTCTGAAGTATATTCACACACGTACTTGCAGCTAGTCATTTTCCCTTCCAATCCCCTGGAGATCAAGCAGCAGTGAGAGTCATTATCCCTATTTTCTAGATCAGAAGACTAAGATCCAAAGCATGTGACTGGCCAAAGGTTTCGCAGCCAATTTCTAGTGGAACTGGGACAGATGTCCTCACCTCCCACTGCCACGGTGTCATATGCCTGAATGACACTGCCCTGTTCCAGCTCTGTATAACGGGGACTTCTCACCTCAAATAACTAAACCAAGGGGCGGAGGTCTAAGGCATGCCTTCAGAATTCTCCATGGCCAAGTTGCAGTGTGTCTGCTTTTCTATTCTTGATCATAGCCAGACTATCAAGATTAATCAAGTTCCTAGTCAGTTCATCAAGGCATAAACCAAGGGCATTCCCTTGTGTCTCCCAATCGCCTTGAGTTTTAAGTGTTTCTTTTCTTACATACTAGGGGGATTGTTGGAGCTGTGTCAATACGCCCAGCTGCCCAAGGTGGAGTAAACCAAAGGTAATTATGAACGCAGTGACAGTGTTTGGAGAGCAACAGGTTTGTTTCATTATCAGACCCCATATGTGAATATGTGTGCATGTGACAGAAAGCTACCTCTCTCCCTCTCCCTCCCCAGGCAACCACACCTTTTGTAAACAGCTCTAAGACTCAGCAGATCCTTCCTCCTAAGACTGAGTTGAAATCTTCTTTCCTTGAACTCTTAACTCTGCTCCCCCCACCCAATTCATTTGCCTATCTACACCCCTAAGGAAACACCTCCCTGTACAGGGCTTGAGCCCCATGTTCGACTTGGGCAGTACCTGGTACCCTCCACTTGGGGGCGGACTAGAGCCCGAGTCCGGCGGTGGAAGGCGGAGGGATGGTTCACTCTCCTCCTTTAGGGCATGAAGCAGAAGTGTCAGTACGGCTCGGCCTTCAGAGGGTCCCTGGAAGGCTGCCAGGAGCAGTGCACCGTGGTGATACAGCTCCCCAAGTGCTGCAAGGGCTACTTCGGGAGAGACTGTCAGGGTGAGGGCGCCTCTTACCAGCTCACAGTTCTGAAAGGCTGGACAATCACTGCAGCATTTCAAAGTACTGGAATTATGAAGCGGGGGTGGGGGCTGGGGTGCACCACTCCTAAGGACTGCCTAAAAAAAGATCCAAAAGCGGTCATTCTGAAGAGTTGTGTAGCTCTCCTCCTTTTTGACTTTTGCCATATTTTTTTAAAGAGTTGAGATTCCACTGTGCATGGGTTATAATTGTGTGCAGTGCTTTTTCACCTAACATTATAGAAGATATTTCCCGTAGCGCTAGAAAACCATATTTCCTTTTTGACGCTAGTCCATGGTCCTGAAGGACTTGCATGTGGGTTTAAATGCATCTAATAGAATTCTGCCTCGGCAGGGTACTATTCTAACACGATTATGTGTGGGCCACTATTTCCTGAAACCTCCCCCTCATTCTAGGACGATTACTTCGCCCTACCTCTTTCCTCACCTGGGAAGGGCATTTAGGCCCATCCTGCGTCTAGATACAACTTGTAGCCAAGAATACATCAACAGCAGCGGCATGATAAAGTCCATGGCATTTCCCAGCTGCCGCACCTTGTTCTAAGTAAGCACATGCACTGAACGCTACTTCCCCTACATACCACTCCATTTTAAACTCCCAACAACCCCTAAGAAGTAGATTCCATTGTTATCCCCATCTTACAGGAGAGAAAACGGAGGCACAGAGAAGGTAGGAAGCAAGCCCAAGGTCCTACAGTGTGTCTCCAGAAGCTGTGGTATTAACTACCATGCATACTCGCTCAGTGTAGACCCACTGAGGAAATCCTGGGTTGGGAGTCCACGCAGACACGCAGCCTCCATTCCCCATCACTAACGTGTGGCCCATTCACAAAAACCAGTGCCATCCCTTGTTTTTGTTCAGTGCTTTTTATTTTCAAAGTGCTCTCGGGTACAGCACCTCATCTGATCCTCAGTCACAGTGTGGGTGAGGTCAGGTGGGCACTGTATCACTCGTGTCCTCACCATCGTCATCTTCATCCAGAGCTAAGAGATCGGATGCTTGGAGCAGTTCAGCCCAGATCTGCTCAAATCCCGATCTCCTGACCCCCCAGTACAGTGCAGGGTACAGTATATTACCCTGCCAAGGTCAAATCCTATCAGACACATTTAAGCTCAGGTCCCATAAGCCAGAGGCTTGCCCTAAACATCCAGTGACACTGTGAGTGTATCCCCAGGGCCATCAGACCATCGAGCTGATGAAGGTCAAACACATCGCTGAAGACAGGTTTAACAGCGCATTAAAAGGAGCTGAGCTGCTCCAGATCTGGGGAGACTGTTGAGTCACTGCTGATTTATGTCTTCCAGCCTGCCCAGGAGGAGCAGAAACCCCATGTAATAACCGGGGTGTCTGCCTGGATCAGTACTCGGCCACAGGAGAATGTAAATGCAACACCGGCTTCAACGGTACAGCATGTGAGCTCTGCTGGCCGGGGAGATTCGGGCCTGATTGTCAACGTACGTACACCCGCTCCCCTGTGCTTTAGCAGTTGTTCAGGTGGGTGCCCCCGTCCTCATGCACGCTCTGCCTGACCTGGGAGCAGCCTTCCTCCCCTCTCTCCCAGCCTCCCACTTCCCATTAGCCTGCCCTTCTATGCTTTTGCCCTCCTGGGATGTACTCTGAGTTCCCATCCACTGAAAGGGCCTCCTCTCTAGAAGTGAAACTCACATTCCCTGCGGTCGCCAAGAAAAGCTGTGACCAGACAACATTCATTTATTCAATCATTCAACCAACATGTGTTTACTGTGTCCTTATGAATATTGATAGCCAGTGTTTATGGAGTGCCTGCCACGTGCCAGGCAGATCTGTTTTACCACTTAATCTTCACAACAACCTTTGAGGTAGGTACTATTATTATCCCCACTTAGGAGATGAGGAAACTGAGGCACACAGAGGCTAAGTGACTTGCTCAAGCCCAGGAATTGTTTGAAATTGTAGGGACACAGTGGTGCAGGGATGGGGAAAAGTCCCAGTTCCCAAGGAATGTTTATCCAAAGGGAGGAAACATAACAATGGCAGAAACAAAAATAAAAAGAAGCAGGTAAGAGGGACAGAAAAGGTGAAGACGCACTATTTTAGAAGAAATCCAACATAGGGAATATCTGAGTAGAGACCTAAGGGAGGTGAGGCCAGGCCCGGGGGTACCATCAGCACCAATCAAATTTTCAGGATTGCAAAAGTGTTCTGTAACTCTACCCTCAGAAATGGCAGCCTCAAGCCACATGTGGCTATTGAGCACTCAACATGTATAACTGAGAACTGATTTTTTATATTAATTAGTTTAAGTTGAAATAGCCATGTGGGGCAAGTGGCTGTTGTACTGGACAGTGCAGCCTAGAGGAATGGTCTTCCTGGAAGAGAGATAAGCAAGTGCAAAGGCCCTGAGGCAGAAGTGAGCTTGGCATGCCAGCAAAGAGGCCAGGGTGGCTGAGCAGAGTGGGAAAAGAAGAGGAACAGGAAGAAAATGAAGCGTGGAGGTCACTAAGGGCCAGGTAACATAGTTGCCTGCGGGCCAGAGGCAGGTCTTCAGCATCTATTCTCGTGTGATGGGCGGCTAGTGGAGGACTGAACAGAGTGTCCGGAGCAGATTAGAAAGGATCACTCCAGCTGCCCCCTGGAGAACATGCTGTAGGAGAGCAAGAGCAGAAGCAGGGCCAACTCTGGGGGCGTTGTGACAATCTAGGTGAGAGCTAAGGGTGCCGTGGACTAAGGTGGTGGTACTGGAGGTGGCAGGCAGCGGGAGAATTGGCACACACCTTGGAAATCTACTGTTAAATAGATTTCTCTGTTAGGAGGCCCCAGTAAGATTCTCTCTCCTTTCTATTCTGTTAACAAAACCCACGACACCCTCTGCTTGTGTGTTTATAACACTCACCATATTTATGATCACATGTTCAATAGCCAGTTACTCCTAGACTGTAAACTCCATGAGAACAGTGACCTCATTCATGTCTTACGTTTTCCATGGCGACCTCATTGTCTAGCAGGGTCTGCCCCACGATAACCGCTGAATGAGTTCTTTTGAATATTTGAATGAATGAATAAGTATGGCATAAGCATGGTGCCCACCATACCGACAACACAGCCAACAGGGGGTAGGTGAGCAGGCTGACTGGATTTCAATCCCTGATCCCCATGACTGATCGCGCTCCAACTTGCTTTACAGCCTGTGGCTGCTCGGACCATGGACAGTGCGACGACGGGATTACAGGCTCCGGGCAGTGCCTGTGTGAAACGGGGTGGACAGGTCACTTCTGTGACAGTCAGACAGGTCGGTCAGGGGAGTGGCCAGCTGCCGTCCGTACCACACAGCAGCAGGCCCTGTCCAGAGTGCCCAGCTGGGGTTGCAGGTCTGCAACATCTGGGAAAAACCAACAAAGCAGGTCTTCCCTTTTCCGTGGGGAGAAGATGACTTGGCTTTGTATCCCCAGACCTCAGGAGGTTTGGTTACTTGAAGGAAAACTAGATCAAAAGATTTAACTCAAACCCATGAAGCCAGATTGCAAACCTGTCTGATCATCAAAGAACCGCTTCTAGCAAAGAATCCAGGATTGGGCAGAATGGCCCCTGGGGATGGTGGTCCTGGGCCCAGATGCATATGGACACAGAGCTGCAGTGGTTTCATAGAAACACTCAGCTCTTTGGGGTCCAGGATCTGACCCCTGATTCTGCTACTTACTAGGCAGATGGCCTTAGATAACCCACCCTCTCTGAGCCTTGATGCCCTCACTGCACCTTGGCAAGGGGAGGGTTATTGCCTGGGTCAGAGATCATGCTTTTGAAGTGCCTGGTGCCTGTGGGCGCTCAGACATGGTGCTGCCATTCTCATTGCCAGTCATATCATCGTTGCCATAATCTGGATCTTTACAGAGCAGTCAGTTTTCTAAGGCCTCCCTTACACCCAATACCCTGTGTTCTGGTGGAAGCTCTCACTTCCACCAGATGGTGAAGTTTCACTATCACTGCATCTTCCTTGAAGTTCCAGAATTCCAGCCCTCAGCTCTCCCCACCCCCTCCTCCTGCCCTCGCCACCCCCTGGCTTCACTCTGCCTGCGGGCACGGCAGCCCCATCCACCAAAGCCCCAGACCTCTCCCAGGCTAGTGGTGCCCTCAGAAGGCTGTGAGAATTCTCCACTAGTTTAGCCATCTCCTTCTAGAAACCCATGCCCTTAGGGCCAATGAGCTAATCTGCCAAATTCACCCTTACTGGCTAGGTATAAAGTTGAAT